CCCCAAAACCCCAAAACCCCAAGAATTAGGGAATGTAAAAAAAATGCTATGAAAGTTTTTATTAAATGATATTAGAATGAAATATAAAGTTAAATTGTTAATAATATTATAAAATGAAAACAAGAAAAGACAGGGAAGAACATGCTCGAGAATTATTAGATACAGTAATAAAAAATAATATACAAAATGCTTTCTTAATAGATTAGACGAAAGAAAACAGAAAAAGAAATAAAAAGTTAATCCTATACAAATGAAGTTAATCTTGAAGGAATTAATAGAGTAAATAAACTATCAATATAATACCTTGTTAAAAATTAGATTTTAGGCCTATGGTTATAAGTATGAGTTACCTTCCTTACATAAGCGAACCTAAAGTAACTCAGTACTTTAGAGTTTTAAAACTGATTAAAGTCCATTTGAAAGAATCAGCTAAAGACGTTAGCTTACAAAGCAAAGCAGTGCAATAGATATTGATAAATTCAGTTACTAACCTACGAAAGGTAAATATATTTATTATAATAGTCAGCAATCTAAAAACCTCTTTTATATAGATATTGATGTAATTGCAACTGCAAGAATAAAATGATAGGATGACCCATTCATCTAAAATTTATAAAATCCATAGAAAAATGTCCTCTAAAACTAATTATTTAGTTCCCTCTAAATAATTCCTGAGAACCATCATCTGTAACAAATTTAATAAGGTAGAAATTTAATAAATAAGTTAAATTAATATTTTTTCAGAATCCTAAGATTATTTATCACAAGAATTACTTCTTAAAAAAAAGTAAAGCAGTAAATTAATTACTGGAAGAAGAGAAAAAGGATTATAAGGTATTGTAAAAACAAGATAAATTGAACAAGGACCACCATTAACTGAGAGAATTTAAAGCTTTTAAGATCTAGTAATAGATAATTACGATTCCTAAAATGATATAACCTATTCTGTTTAGGGTCTAAATCCTCTCCCTAATAAGCAATAAGACATAATATCTAAGAAAAAACAAAAGAAAAAATTCATAGAAAGATTGATAATGGATCCTACAGAGACAACTGTCTCAAAGCCAATCAATCACTTTCATTAATCTATACAAATGAAAAATCCTATATATGATTTCATCTCTAAAGAAAAAAATAATAGTGAGTCGATATTTCCCAAGAGCTTGTAAAGGAATGAAAATCACCTTAGTAATTATTACTAATCAATTTTAACAAATAGAGATGAGTAAAAATCTCTTTTTGTTTAAGATAGACCGAATCATCTTTCTTCAGTCACAAAATCTGGAAGAGTAGGAAACTCTCATGACTTTTTAGAATCAAAGAGGAAGACTCTGGAAAGAGTTCTTAATAATGAACTGAGTAGTAATCTCATATCGAATATTTTCATGACACCTCAAACTACAAGATAGGACAGCAGATCAATGAAACTCAATCAAAATATAATAGGTAATGCCTAGTTTTAGAGTTAATTAGCTAGCCTGCCTAATAGTTACAATCCAGTTAAGGATATGATTAAGAATAATTAATATAGCACACCTGATATTAATGATAATAAGTATTTTAAGATTGAAAATATTTACAAAACAAGCTCCCAGAAAAATACTAATGATTATTCACACAGCAGTCTGAATTAAGGTATCTCAAATCTTAAAGATTATGCCTTACCATCTGCTGATAGGAAAAATATTGATATTAAAACTACACTAAACAATGTAACTCCTCTGGAGTAGAATTACTTTAGTAAAGAGCGTTATAATGCTTATTTTGGAATGGGTTTATCAAGCGAAATGCAACAGTTTCATCCAGCTATGAATAAGAATGATAAGTTCTAAGACATGATGGGATTAAGTAAAATGCTTGATAAAAGAATATTTAATAGCATGAGATCTGCTGGTGAACTTAATAATTTGTGATAAGCCTGATTAAAAGAGATAATTAGCAAAGAGAATTATAAGTATAAATGAATTGAATAAATTTTAAATCTATTTTAATTTAAAGATTTTGGATACCAGGGGTTTTGGGGTTTTGGGGTTTTGGGG